AGAGAAAGCCAGGGAACACCATTGCATCCTTGTGGCTACTTCTCCAGAAAGATGTCTCCTGCTGAGCGCAACTACGATATTGGCAATAGAGAACTGTTGGCCATTATTCTTGCCCTCAAGGAGTGGCGACATCTTCTGGAGGATTCCAAGGACCCCCTGTTGATCATAACCGACCACAAAAACCTGTCATATATAGGGGATGTGACAGAACCATCTGTATACCTATTCGTGGTGGATTCGTCTAGTTGCCTTCCTTTCGTGGAAATGGCTTGTTATTCAATTAAAACCGAATACAGGGTGGTTGTCGTTCGCATGTCGAACATGAGGCAGCAGGCATTTTAGATTGCACGAAGACCAGCGGTGTTTGGCATTGATTTCATGGAACTAAAAACTGACACTTTTTCTGCCGAACACCGCTGGAACAACAGGTCATCCTGCTCCGTCGACGAAAGCATGCGAACACCGGCCGTTCGGGTGTTTTGAATTACATGCAGAGACTTGACCCAGATAGCCTTCCCATGGAGTCAATCGCATACCGAAAGACTGTAAGAACTTTGACTCCATGGCGATTGAACTATGCGTATGGGATCTGAGCGCTATTCGCTAATAATATGCACTCAGATCCAGGCTATCTGGGGATATGTGATACGAATGTAAAATGTTCGGTAGTTGTGGAATTATATATTTTTGTGTGTTTCTGGCATTTTACTTAAGAAGGCGATTTGTCTTTGTCCTGGAGATAATGGAATTACTTCTCAATTATCTCCAGGGCAGAGGGGAGGAAACCATATTGCATTGTGGGAAAAGTTTGTGCCTGTATGTCTGAATTGTCCATATGTCCATCTGTCATTACAGTCTCCCATTTGGTCCCCTAGGGGAGTGTCCACCAAGTGGGAGACCTGCATAAATACGGGCGGGTAGCCCACAGTAAAGCCAGATCCTGTTTGACCCACAAGGCGGAGCGTAGTCTCGTTATTGGGGGGATTTATTACTGACGACTAGAGACTGATTGCTGGAGCTGAAAGCCGCTTGGTGGATATACTTGTTCGTCGGCTAGCAGCGATTCATGGATTTCTGTTTGGGAGTTTGGAGCCTCTTACGGATCCCGTTCGGGAGATTACTGCTTCCCCTGATGGTGGTTCGTATACAGCAGTCTATGCGAATGGAGATAGTGAGATTGCAAAGGCGGGAGCTTAACTAAACAGCGGTTTCCCTCACAGGCACCAGGGGTGTCTTAACAGGGGATGCCAAATGTTTGTCTTCCAGACAGGCTAGATGGTCACTGTTCCTTTCACATTTTAACTTCCTCATTACTTATAGACCTGGTTCTAAAAATACCAAGGCTGATGCCTTGTCCAGGCAATTTGATAATGAGTCAGCTCCGGAACAGGTGACATCTCCTATTATTCCACCAGAGTGTATTATTGCTACTACTGTCCTCTCACTGTCTTCTCCACTGCTTGGCACCATACTGGAGGCCCAGCCTCAGGCGCCCAGTGGTAAACCGTGTGATAAACTGTTCGTTCCCCTATGTGAAAGGGTTAATATCATGAAAGTGTTTTAAAGGCTTAGAGTCTAAGGTGTTTTTTCCCTTTTTCTAAACACCTGAGACACACCCAGGTAATCTCCAAATTCTGGACTGGTAGGGGGTCCTGAGAACCCCTGTTCTAAGGTGACTCATGCACTTCCTTGTGGCCTGTTGCAGCCTCTTCCTGTTCCATGGTCCCACTTATCCATGGACTTTATTGTTGAGCTTCCTTGCTCTGCTGGGTTCACTACTATTCTCATGGTTGTAGACCGATTTTCTAAGATGGCTCACTTCATTCCTCTCAAGAAGTTGCCATCTTCGCAAGAATTGGTCCTAATTTTCATACGTGAAATTGTCCGTTTGCACTGCATCCCTCACAGTATTGTGTCTGATAGGGGCTCTCAGTTTGTGTCCAGGTTCTGGAGGGCGTTCAGTAAACAATTGGGGATTGATCTCTCCTTCTCCTCCTCCTACCATCCACAGACCAATGGTACAGCTGAGAGGGCTAACCAGTCATTAGAAGTTTATTTGCGTTTTTTTATTAATAGCACACAGGACAATTGATCCCAACTACTCCCGTGGGCTGAGTTCGCTAGAAACAATGCTGTTCATGACTCCTCTGGGCACAGTCCATTTTTTGTCAATAATGGTAGGCATCCTACGGTTCTCCCTGCGGTATTTTCTGATACTGTCATTCCTGCTCTGGATGAGCATCTGGCCTTCATTCGGGATACCTGGGTTAAGGTTCAAACTGCTCTAGGGGCTGCTGCTGAACACTTCAAACATTTTGCTGATAAGCGTAGGAGTGCCAACCTGGTGTACCAAGTAGGGGACAGGGTTTGTTTGTCATCTCGCAACATCAAGCTTAAGGTCCCTAGCATTAAGTTTGCCCCCAGATTCCTTGGTCCCTATAGAGTGCTTCGTAGGATCAATCCAGTGCCGAGCAGCAACCTAATCCACAGAAGGGTTAATGCTGAGCAGCAATTATGCAAATGAAAACCTGGTAACTGACTTTGGGGTCAAATGCCGGTTACAGCCTATCAGAACTAAAGGAGGGGTATTTAGGCTCAGTTCTGATCCTGCTCAGTGCCCTGTCATGGTTTCCCTTGTAGTTGTCCGAGAGCGCGTTCCTGTTATTAGTTTTCTACCTGGTTTTTGACTTTGGCTTTGTTTATTGACTTCTCTATATTCTGGTATCCTGACTCCTGGCTTTCCTCATCGCTGCGTCCCTTTCTGTGTTCCCTGACCTTGGCTAGTATTTTTGACTATTCTATGTATGTTAAATCCAGCCATTCTAAGGACCGGTAATACGTTACTTATTTGTCGTCCATGCTATACAGTTCGACGTGCTGGATCAAACAGCTAATAAAGACTAATAAAGAGGGCTTAGCGATCTCAAATATTATCAGATATTATGAAGCGACTAGAATTTTTCATTTAAGAAGATGGAATGCCTTCAGTGCATCCGACGAACCATGGTATAAGGGTTTGCGATCTATCTGCCCTGATTTGGCTAGACGAGGGAGCAAGTATTAAGTTTATATTACCTATTGAAAGTACATATTTAAAGGTTGTTCTGACTGGTTTAAGTATAGAAAGAAGAATAACATATTGGACAAAATTGCTAAAGTCAGCCCTATCACAACTATGCAAAGTAATATATTAGATTTAGATTTTAAAAATTGGATTGGCTATTTCAGATATTATAATTGATAATAAAATAAAACCTTTTACACAACTGCAGCAGTTATATAATATTTCTCCCAAAGAGATTTTCAATTATCTAAGACTTAAAAACTACATAGGTGGTCATATTTTAAATGATGCCCATGATACACTAAATGTTGCAATCTCTAGATTGTGTGTGAGGGTGCTGTGTGTAGGTGCTGTGTGTGTGTAGGTGTTGTGTGTGAAGGCGCTGTGTGTGTGTGTAAGGGCGCTGTTTGTATAAGGGCTGTGTGTGTGTGTGGGCGCTGTGTGTGTGAAGGCGCTGTGTGTGTAAGGGCGCTGTGTGTAAGGGTGTTGTGTGTGTAAGGGCGCTGTGTGTGTCAGGGTGCTGTATGTGTGTATAATGGTTATGTATGTGTCTGTAAGAGTGCTGTATATGTGTGTGTGGGTGATGTTAGTGTGTGCGTGTGTGCTGTGTGTGTAAGGGTGCGATTCATACAAAACTTTGATGTCAAATAGTAAACCCCGTAGCCATGTATTGTTTGTCTTTGTATGAATGAAAAATGCAATAAATAATACAAATATAAAACAAAATATATAAAAACCTAAATTAATACAATATAAACAAAGTTTTTAATGTTGTAGTGTCAACTTTACAGTTTAAAATTTGGGTTTGGGAGGTAGTACTATGACATATAATGTGAGGGGGGGGAAATAAAAATAATGGCATTAAGGTGCAATGAATGTTGGGAAGTGTAGTTTTTCGCTGATCGCCCTATCTCAATGTTATTTTAGGTTAAGAAAACACCATGTTCGGCCATATTCTAAGGGGAGGGGGCCGGGCACATGAAGAGGGATTTGAGAGGTAGGGCTGGGCTGTGGTAATAGGAACCTCCATGGCCACGAGGCAGCGTATGGTGGCCATGTTGAGAGGGGAAGTTTCATTTTCTAAAGCGGCCACATTAGAAGGGGAAAAATGACATAATGCTGATAAAACAGTCATGTTGGGGGGGAGTTTCAAGAATTAATAGAAATGAAAATGGTGATCTCTCCATAATAATTGTTAAAGAAAAGGTGTATATTATAGACATAATACATATAAAACATGTTGTATGAAAATGAAAATGTAATCAAGTGCCAAAACTGTGACCTCATTTAACTGCTACAATTATATCACTAATGACACACAAAGTAACAGCATGATCCACCTCTCTCCACTTCACAACTCACACAGAGGTGAAGGGAGGCAGATCAGAAGGCATTAAATTTAGCAGACAGAAAAGTTCAATCGTGTCCTTAAATGTAGGACTTGTATGACGAAAAATGTCCTCCAGCGTTGTGAAGAAGTTAAAAAATAAATACTAAAAGACCCTGCTATGCACCAAAATTACAAGAACATATATTGTATTATTATTATTATAATGCCCCATAATGAAGAATGTGCCATATTCCTCACTACTTAGGTTTTATTTACTAAACTGAGATTTGGAAGTCAATTTAAAGTGAATTTGAAATTAAAGTCAAACTCACAGAACTGCGAAAGTCTGTCAAGTCATTTATACTTTCAGTTTGGCTACTGTGGCCTTAAAATTAAAATTCACTTTGACTTCACTTTGAATTCTCACTTTAATGAGGAACCCTGTTAGTAAATAACCCTGTTCAATTGAAAAAAGTTAACCCTTCCCCTGCCAAATAAGCACAGAGTATGTTAACCCTGCTGATTAATCCAGGTACAGCTGTGTTTAGGGAGGGGTCCTGACTATAAAGCTAAGGCACTGATAACATTAGTCTTGTACAGAGATATCTGGAGACAATTCCAGAGTTTTTCAAACCAGTGACACAAAGGCTCTTTGCTGGGAGTCTAGAGATTTGGGTGGTTGTTTTCTGATCTGTGATAATGAATACAGCAGGTAAGTGGTCCCTGTATAATGTATGTGTATTGTGTATGGGAAGCTCTTTCTGCAGGGCTGCATACGGTGTATTTAATGTATATTAGGACTGCTTTAAAAGCCTGACTTTGTGGCTGTGTTGACTAAATATGACAGTTTGTCACACTGGAGAACTTTGAATAATTACATTTCATATGGAACAAAAAGAGAAGTATTATGTCCAACTCTGCCTTTTCTGTTCTAGACCATCTCAGGGAAAACTAAATCTTAGAACACTGTAGTGTCAGACAGCGAAACCTCTCATGTGTAGCCCCTGCTAGAAGTAAGACTGTCTAACACTGGTGGGAGGAGGCTGAGCAAGACAAAATCTGGGCACAGTAACTGCTTTGTGGCTAAGATTTGTATACAAAATGCTATAGCTCTAATGGCATGCACCTAGCCAATCTGTTCCATGTGTGGGCACATCATTTTGGAAAATAACTTCTCCTTAATGCTGAGGGCTCAGACAACTGAAATATGGATCTCCTTGGTTTTTCTATGCTACACTGAAAATCAGATATGACTGGTACCAGAATAAGAGCAGATGATGGATATTTGTTCTCCTGCCTCCCTGGTTTGCTCATGCCAGGATATAAAATGAATTAAAGGGACACTAGTCACCAGACCTCTAATGCATAATCTAGTGGTGTGTATAATTCACTCTTGGTCATGGAGGTAGGGCTAGTCGCATCAAAACCAATGTGGTGATGGAGTAACATTCCCCTCTTTAGGCGTGGGGGGGAAGAGTTGGGTAGGGACACCTTAACATTGAAAAGGTAACTATATAGTGTTACGAATATTTGTGTGTATTAACACTATAGTGTTCCTTTAACAGGATCCAGAATTGCACACCATGCATATTGCTTTATTTCACTTTGAGGATCTACTCCTTTCTCTTGGCTGCTCATAGCCTCAGCCTGATTCAACCAACAATGTTACTGCACCCAAACCCACGCTTGGATAATGACATGCAAGCTGGCCATTTACTCTATATATCTAAAGGGGAAATTCCTGACTCTTGCTGTATAGCTGTTAGAATGTTTGTTTCTTCCAACCTGAACAGTACTTCTTTGCATCTACATTCTTTAAAACCTGTAACTTCCTTGTGAGTTCCCCACTATTCCCAGTGCATTGAGATGTGTATCAATATCTATAGTCCTTCTGTATAACGCTATTTTATAGTCTTGGTTCATACTTTTTAGGACATTCCACTTCCTAAAAGTATGTTCCAAAAAGGTGGCAGCACTCACAGAATTAGAAATGCTAATCTTTATTTGTTCATATAAAAAAAAATAAACCTCTTGGTCCTCTGTATGGGACTCTCTTCAGGATCCTGAAAGCCCCATACAGAGGACTGAAAGGTTTTTTTTTTTTTGTTTTTTTTTAGGAACAAATAAAGATTAGCTTTTTTTTTTAATTCTGTGAGTGCTGCCACTTTTTTGGATATCTCATATGATATTCTCAGCTTGGAAGGGAGGTGGGGACCAGCTGATATCTTGTTTGTAGTCTCTGCAAGCTCTCCTCAGCCCAGGCTTTCTATGCATGTCCAATAAGACTTCCCAGTCAAAGTGCTTTTGATGTTTGGATTGTTCCTTTAATATTTTACTTGCCTCAATCTAGAATCCACTGTTGGTTGACTCCTTAGTGGTTAAAGGTCTCTAAAAATAACCTGTCCCCTTTTGGGGGGTTTTATTTTTATATATATATATATATAATTTTTATTTTTTTTAGATGACATCCTATTTGTTGTGACTAGAAAAGAATATACTACTGGAGTTGGCTTACCCCCGAGCAACAAAGATGACCACTATATGCTTCGCTCTACTCCTGTTGGCAAGTTAATGAATGCCATAAAGATCTTCTTTTCCCCTAAAGGAGATCTGTTTGCTGTTCGTGGTGGAGACTTGTTCAAGGGACCTGTGCCTTCGGAACAAGGCCTGAATTGGTTTGAGACTGCCAAGAGAGTAGGCAAAGTAGACTGGGGCAACTTTAAATTTACCCTCTTTGATCCACATGGGATTCTGTATGCTGTTACATCAAAGGGTGATCTCTACAGGGGTCCAGCCCCCACTAATGAAAATGTGCCTTGGCTTTATCATCAAGCTAACAAAATAGGATGTGGTGTGTGGAATTCATTAAAAGCTCTCTTCTTTGATCCTGAAGGGGTTCTGTATGCAGTGAAATCAGATGGCCATCTTGTGAAGGGAAGCCCACCAGGCTTTCCAGGAGATGACTGGCTTTCAACATGCATACCTGTTGGCAATGAGAACTGGTCTAATCTCTCTCGCTTCATAGGCTTCAGTCCTGCTGGAGATCTGTGGTGCGTTGACGACTCTACAGGAAGACTGCTAAAATGGGGACCTGGATCAATGGCCAGAAGTGCATATGCTCATATCGAGGCAGAGCCTATGGGCCAGGGATTTACGTCCTGTCTCTTCTTTGCTTTCACTGCAGATAAAATCATTCACAGTATTGAGAGCTTTGAATTTCTAACTGCTTCTAGCAAAATTGTATCTCAAAAGAGCATGACTTTGAATGTCCAGACCTACATCAATAGTGGTGATGAGGCTTTGAGCCACAAACTATCGTAAGTATAAATCACAAACTCTGCTACCTAAAATCAAACCAGGAAATAGCAGAGAACCTGCTACATTCTGATTTGGGGGGGTTGTTTACTGATTATCTAGTATTGAGGGGTGCTCTCTTCCTAAATATTGAATTATATACTGATTGATATGTTTCTAACTCTAGATTCTCAAAAACAATTGCTGATCTCAGTACCTTCAGCCAGGACCATGGCTTTACAGTGAAGGCTGGGGCTGAGATCACATTTAGTGCTGGAATCCCTTGTATAGATGATTCTGATGAGATTGCACTCAACACGAGTGTTGCTCATACCTGGGACTTTACCAAGACCAATGAAATACAGGTAAATGGGGATGCAGAATAGAATCCAATTTAGTTGTGCTAATGTTTATTACCTTGTATGTGTCAGATGGGTGATAGCAATTGCTTGGTGAATAATCCTTTTGTGTACAGACTGTAGCACGGCTGGGTAGGCTTGCATTGTGACTCTTCCTTTTCCTTTTTGCTTTCAGTAAAACTACAAAGCTCTTACTTCCCAGCCCCTTCATGGCACTCTATAAATATTGGGTCATTAACCCTTCTTGAATGGTCATGCTGAATTTCCTTTTTATATTGCTGGATGTCTCATGTGGGGCTATTTCCTTTAGGATCTATTAATGTATCTGAACATTGTAATGGTGGCAATTGTGTGATGTACATTGTCTCTTCTCCTACAGAATACTTTCCCAGTCAATATAGATGTCATAGTGCGACCACATTCAAGAATGCGTGTGGTTGCATCAGTCATGGAGGCTGTACTGGAGGTGCCTTACTCTGCCACAATCCACACCATGTTTGGCTCTGAAGCTACCATAAAAGGGATGTGGAAAGGAGTGACTCATTATAACCTCACCATCGCCCAAGGGAAGTCATAAATCAGTGCGTCATTTTGGATAAAGCAAAATTGACACAAGCCACTATGTATGGTTTCAGGAGCCTATAAAAAGGGCAACCCTACTGTGGTAATAGTTTGGATATATAACAGTCGCAATGTTTATACATCTGAGCCAATAAATTTTCTAGCAGTCTCCTTGTCTGTCTAGTTTACTCTGTAAGCCACAAGTGGTTTCTGGTGGTGGTATACAGTTGTGCTTCAGTGTCCAGGATTGGTTTCTAGGTCAGACCTTTATTATAGAATATTAGGGTTACAACTTGGCCCTAATAAAGGGATGTCTACATTCTGCCAGTAACTTGAAGACCACTTGGATAGTATGATCACAAATCTACAATTGCTTCCAGCCATTAATGACAATGCTAATTTTGACACATCAGACCCTTTGATAGGGTTTGGGGGATACTTATAGACACTGACACTAATGAAAGCATTGTGGTTTTGAGTAACTCTTGGGGGGGGGGGTTTAAAATCGGTCAGTCACCCCTGAATTTCTCAATTGGGGAAAGTTGAGATTAACCCGAAAAGTACAACAGAGCAGACTATATGAGAGCACTGTCCTACAATGTAAATAAAATACAGACTAAAAAAACTAAATTGAACAAATAATTACTAAACACCAATTGTGCAACCTTAGTTCTCCATATTAAACACCCTTTATCTGATCCCATTTGCAGTGTGTAAGCTGCAAGCTTTGTTGGGAGAAACCATGGTACAGTTATGCTTAATGTTCATATATTTGACCTCCTGATCAGGTAGTAATGCAAAATCAACATCAGTACATAGTTACACTCACAGTGTAACGAGACCTCTAGATGCTTTGGTGCTGGGCACAAATTATGTCACTAGTTCCAATGCTGTCTAAGGTATCCATAATGCCACCAAATGCATTAATCAGTCATGGCCAATTCTGTTCAGTTTAATACGGCTCCACAGGTAAATTTGATCCGTATGTGGCCCCCAGTGAATCCCCGAGCACCCCCCCGTGAATCTCCATGGAGATTCATGGGGGGGCTAAGAATGCTGAAGGGCGTGCAGTCACTGCTCATTAGTCTATGTTCTTGCGATCTCTTGGATGTCGTTGTCACAGGACTTGATTCTTTTTCCCTGGAGGGACAGAATAAAGAAAAAAAGTATGCCACTTGTAATAAAATTTGCATAAAATAGTTAACTTGCATTTAATTTTAATGGTTCAAAGAATGTCAGGCAAAATGGTCTGGCCTCACACATGTTCACTTCATCAAATCTGGCCCTCTCTGAAAAAAGTTTGGACACCACTGCATTACATGGTGATACTTGAGAAAAATGTCAGAATCTTACAGCAAGCTGCACAAAAAGTAAATGGTTGACTTTTTACCTCCATGGCATAAACCGGAAGGATGCCTCGGGATTACCAGTGTGTGGATAAAAAAAACTTGAACTTTGTGGGTTTTTTTTTTTTTTTAAACACCCTTGACACACCTGGGTAATCCCCTATATCTTGGACTGTTAGGTTTGTCTTGAGGAGAGTGTTAAGGAGCACTGATTTAGCCTATGAGAGATGATGGTGCACAATATATAAATCCACCATGCTTTGACACTAAGTAGATCACTGGTCCAGGAGTCTATTCCCAGCCCATCACTTTCAAGCCTACAGGATCTCCATGGTTATCTTCCCTGAAATGTAGGGTTATACAAGTGCTAGGATAGATATTCATAAATGTTTGTTTTTGTTTGTTTTTTTTTTTTACAGAACCTGCTTCAATCTATTCAGAAAACCAGTTATTCACCAATTTCCCATCTTATTGTAACTATGGTTAGGAATACAAAACTGTATTCCTAACACTAGTGTCCCCACCTCCTACACAGTCCACACTGCATCCAGACTGCTTCAATGAGATGAAATGATCTGGGTACCCATATTGTCCCTCTAAGTTTATAAATGTTTATTACATTTCCTTTTCTGGGGAGGGGAGAGGCTAAGTATTTTTATGTATTTTAGAATTTGTCTGGGCATGAATTTCTGCTTTCTTAAGCAAATGTATTTATTATTGGGCCAACTATTTATACAGGGCCAACTAATCGTGCAATGCTTTATAATATATGAAAGGAGGGGGAATTGATTAGGAAGTCAAAGTTGATATATCTTTAACCCCTTAAGGACACATGATGTGTAACATGTCATGATTCCCTTTTATTCCAGAAGTTTGGTCCTTAAGTGGTTAATACAAACATTGTTTTCTGGCTATTAATCATGGCAGCATCACTTATGGGTAGCTTCGCCCCTAACAAGATCAGGACAGGATTAACTAATAAACAAAGAGAGAGACTGGAGGCATAAAAGGTCCCTCCTCCTTTCATACCTCAGTCTTTTTTTTCCTGTCCTTAACTGGACAGACAGGTTAACATTTTATTTAGCAATTTTCTTTTTTTGGCCACCTTCCCATGTGTAACATGGGTCTCCCATGCACAGTTCAGCCTCTGTGCCTGAAGGATCCAGTAAACAGCATGACTAACTAGTAATTTGAATCTGCTTGAAAACCATATATAATGCTGAGGATTATGGTTCCATTGATAAAATCAGAAGCTTTGTATATTCCCCCTACAGAACCCAGAGGCAATGGGAGATAGACCTTTCTCTTCATTCCGGAGTTTTTCTTCTCAATTTGTGTACTGTTCAGTAGAATCCTTTGTTCAGGAGTTTGTTCATGTTCCCCTGTGGTAAGCCTAGCAAATGGTAAGTGGTTATTTGTTCGTTCATTTCGTTTCATTTGTTTCTTTCTTCCATTCGAATGCTATGGCGTTTGTTTCCTTTCTAAGGGATTCTCCAGGCTAGCTTCAGTTAGTTTATACCCGATTCTCATAACTGGCGCGAAGGGATCTAGAAAAAAGGTGTGAACGGCTCAGCATTCTCTCGAACGATCTGCGCATGTGCAAACATCCTCACTTAAAGAGACAGTCTTTTTCCATTCAGTTCTTAAAGTGACTAGATCATTCAGTTCCTAAACAATTCGGGAAAGTTATTCGGTACTGCAAGAGTCTTTTTTTCTCAGCTGAAGGTAAGAATAATTTCTAGATGTCTTCTTCCTCTGCCTCCCACCGCTCAGGTTCAAAAAAACATAGGTGAGCCAAGTTTTTATCTACTTAAGGGGAATAAAAGAGCGTCATACAGGCCCCATAATTAATTACATGGCCCTTCTTATCTTGCAGCCCAAGCATGAGCCAGGATAGATCGCCCAGGAAACACAAGGAAAAATCTAATCGCTGCTTCGCCTGCAATAAAGTTGCTCTAGAGGGTAAAAACCTCTGCCTCACCTGCAAGACAGAAGTGGCAGACAACCAACCCAGGAATAGTTCTCTTCAAGAAGAACTTAAGACCTGGATATCCCAAGCTATAGCTGAAGGCCTCAAGGCTTCTTCAAAACACCTCCTCCTCCAAGAAGCATCAAAGAGCTGAGTCCTCTTCTCTCTCATCTGAATATGAGTTGGAATCCTTTGAGGAATTTACTGACAAGGAGGAGGAAGATATGGAATATAGCCCTAAATCCTTAGAATCTGTTGAAAAACTAATATTCCTAATAAGAAATACCCCAAAAATTACAAGAAGAAAAAACAGAATCCTTGGAATATGACAAATATTTTGAAGACCACAGATCTTTGAAACTATCATTTCCTGTACATCATTCTATCAAGGAAATGATCCTCAATGAATGGGCCAGACCTGAGAAAAAAGTTACCCCAAAACACCAGAATCCTAGAATCTTCCCATTTGCCTCCAATGATTGCAAAACTTGGACTGCTATCCCAAAAATTGATGCAGCGGTAATCAAAATTGCGAAACGTACTACACTTCCCATTGACTCCATGGCATATGTACGGGAACCTATGGAGAAAAGACTGGATTCCAACCTAATAAAAGCTTATATCTCTCTTGGCTCAGCTTTACATCCAGCCATAGCTCTTACCACCTTGTCCAGAGCTATGAAGGTTTGGTTAGAAAACCTGGAAGAAGATATCCAAAGAGGTGTAAGAAGAGAACAACTTCTGGACAAACTTAGGGACTTCAGGCTCGCTGCGGACTTCAGCTCCGAAGCATCCCTGGATATCTCCAAGATGATTGCTAAAAGCATGGCTTTACCTGTTTTAGCCAGAAGAGCCCTATGGTTACACTCTTGGGGAGCTGACTACTCTTCAAAAGCCTCCCTTTGTGCTCTACCCTTCCAAGGGGATCTCATGCTTGGAAAAGTACTTGATGAAGAGATCCAAAAAGCAGTAGACAGCAAAAAAGCTTTTCTACCTCAAGGGAAGAGAAACCCATACTCTTTTTCCTTTTGGAAAGACAAAAAGTCTTGTGATAGGTCCTTTTGAGATAATAGGTCATACTGACCAGATAAAGAGCAAGATATGCATCTTGGAGAACCAGCCTTCATCTTCCTCTAAATCCTCCAGAGGAAGGGGATTGAGAGCCCCTTCCAAAAACTTCTGAAGGTTTACAGGCCCATACAGACTGCCTAGGAGTTCTATGTCTGGGCCACAAATATATCCGACTCAGGTCATGTCTATCCTCGATCAAGGTTACAGAATCAAATTTGACTCCTTTCCTCCAGGCAACTCCTTCATAAGCTCAAGAATACCCTTGGGGGGAAAAGGGGAAGCCATGATTTCCGGTGTCAAAAAAACTACTTCTCCAAGGTGTCATAGAAGAGGTTTCTCCTTCAGAAAGATACAAGGGCATCTACTCAGCAGTATTTTTGGCCCCCAAACCCAACGGGAAATGGAGACTTATAATAGATCTGAAAAAAATCAACATATCCCCGAAGCGCATTTCATTCAAAATGGAATCCATATCCATAATTGTGGCTCCATCTCATCAAGAAGTCTCTCGTCACACCATACGAGCCTTGAACTGTCTACACAGGAACACGGTTGGATTATCAACAAAGAGAAGAGTGTTCTGACTCCGTCTCGGCAAGTAATATTCCTGGGGGCTTATATCGACACCAATATAAGCAGACTAAAAAACTAAATTCTCTTGGTTCTCCACAAACTTTCCATCACAGCCAAGGAGTACATGTGTATATAAGATTAGTCTGCTGGGCTCAAGAACTATCCAGTCAAATTTTCTGAGTCAGTTCAACTACTATCGCAACAACTGGAAATAAATTATTCAATTTCCCCAAGTTGTAAAAGATCAATGGGAATGGTGGCTTTAGCAAGACAATCTACGGAAAGGGTTTCCAATAGAACATCCTCCTTAGCAAATTATCACTATGCGAGCATGACGAGATGAGGTGCTCACACAGAATCAATATGGATTCAAGGCACT